TCTGTGCGTTGCAGGATCTCTGTACAAATGAAAGTGGGACATGGCTGCCTTTATCAGATGCAGCTCCCCTTGGGAGCATCGCTCAGAGGAGGGTACATCAGCAGGGGCAGTTGTTTAACATAGACATAAATGCTGGTGAATTGGTCCATCTCTGTAGCTATGAGACTTGCTTTTCTCCTCTTTCAAGGCGTGTTCTCTGCATGTATTTTGTTGATGTCAAGTGTCCTGTTTAGGAATTGTTTCTGTCATCTTCTATCCAGCAGGATTTTGTGCTGGCTGAAGAAGAGGCTCCTGTCTCCCTCCAGGTGGGCTGCAGGTTGTGCTGGGGACAGCCTGGTTGTGGTGCCTCACTGCCATGGGCAGCTGGGAGCATCGCCAGCAGTGGCAGGACACAGCATCTGAGGAGCTTGGTTGCAGGACGCAGAAGCTTCGTTTCCATCATTCTTATAAGCAGACTTAACACTGATTTAAATCTGTTTCTCCTCCCCCCACCCTGCCCAGGAACACGATCTCACACGAGCAGACCCACAGCATAGTTGGCCAACAGCAAAATACACAAAACAGAGGAAAAATACCCTTTACAAAATCTTCAGTAATTGTTCTCAGCAAGGAGAGCTAGAACACGTGACAGCAATGAAAATACCTATGTATATTAATGTTACTTTTAACACGTGGGAAATACCTTCAGCTGAACTCCTGATAGTCAAAGAAAGGGGATTTCACATTTAATGATGAAAGCGTTGCAGTACGCAAGGGAACAGTAACAGAACAGCAGGCACTGTGAAACTTGTGATGAGGACTGCACTCATCATTTATAGTGCACTCATCATTAAATAGAAACAACTGAGTAACTGTTCTGTAAATGTCTGTCATGTTGGATTATGGCTTGTCCAAGGCTCAGTCCAAACATGGAAGTTTGCAAAACGTCCCTCAGCACCGTAGCAACAAATACATTATTTCTAATTCAGGGCTCCATGCCAGGCACTCCTGCGTGTTATTAATTACTGGGAACATGCCTGCCTTCTGTTTTCATTTCCTGACATTAATGGGTATCACTTGTTGTACAGTTATAAGCACAGCTACTCATTGGGACTGATTCAACACATACCCCAAAAAAATGACTGACATCAGAAAAGATCTGCTTCTGATAATGCTTGGAGCACACGGGGCACACAACTTTTGTCAAGTCTGCTCGACCTCACTCGTAACGTACTACAATGTGCCCCATAGGCTCTGATGCAGGGCAGCCCCAGAGCTCTCTGCAGCAAAAGGATCGGACCCTACAGGCAGTGGGTGAACGCCCAGCTCACTGGTAGCTCAGCACAGCATGGCCAGCCCTTACTGATTGCTGCTGTGCACAGACACTCCATAGTTTCAAAGGCCTCAGGATCCAAGAGGCACCAGTTGCCTCCTTAAAAATGGGGAGAACATGATACATCTTAGATCTACAACCAGAGAGATCAAGCTTTACTGCTACAAATCAAACTCACTATTGAAAAATAAAAAAAATATTCAACTTATTTCACCCTTCCTCTTTAGAACATGTTCATACTAACACCATCTAATTCTTTAGACATTTTGTAATGTCATTATCCTAAAAGAAAACTTCATTTATTGTACACTGTAGATTTGATTTGATCTTAGCTTGAGTGCTTTTTAGCCATCTATCCAGACAGTTAAATCAAAGCAGTGAAACGATGGGAACCCACCAATAATAAACAAATTCATTACAGCCATTCTAGCTGAAGCCCAGCTAGAATTCACACGAACTCTTTGCTTGAAATCAAAGAATACTTTGCCAATGAAGATCATAATTTTTAAGTCTGCCCATTTTTACCTTATAGCTTCACATCGTTACTGCATTTGTGCCACAGACAGAATAAATTCTACAGAGAAAAGATGACTTCTTTGTCATCTTTTGCAAAAGATTGCATCAGAAGGCAAAGCTGCTGCTCTCTGCTATGAAATTTGCCCTTGGATGTAACACAGAATCAACCAGTTCATTTGCCCATCTCTAGCTGCTATCCAGACACAGCTCTGTATTCCATCCCAAGCTGCTTTAAAGTGCTAATACACAGTCATAATGGGTTTTGAAAATATTTCAGTAAACTGATTCAAGTACTCAGATGCTCACATGGAAAGTCCAATCACTTGCATCCCCCTGCAGGTTCTTGGGGCAGAACTCCTAGGATACATCAGGATACCCCAGCCTTTCTCACAGCACCCTTCTGCACTAATAGAACCACACCTAAACCTCAGCAAAACACAATTTTTCCCTACTTATTTCCTGCTCAGCCCTGCACTGCTACAACTTGCCATATGCTTTCAATAATTCCACGCAACACTTTCCCTCGTCGTGATCTAGAAGAAGCAAGCATCTGTTTCTTAAGTTTTAGCCTGAAAGTTCACAGGATAAAAAACACACTTCACTAAAAACACACTGGGGGATATTTCTGGAGAAAAGTAGCTCATCTCACTCAAGTAGATGGTCTTTTCTGCCAATAGGAGTGCAGTAATCTTCTTAGGTAGGGTAGACTACAGCAACAAAAAGTAATATTTCAGTATTTAAATCTTTAGATGCTATATTTGCTTACAAGTTCTCTTTAGAAGAGGCTTTTCAAGTCAATTCCATGGAGCAGTATGAAACCTGCATTCTGATCACAAAACCTGAAGCGCCTCAGATGAAGTAATTTCTCAGCAACCATCAGCAGCAAGAGGTTCTGAACATCCAATTGAAACACAAGAGTGCACACACTTAATTCATTCCATTCAGCAAGTGCTTGCTTCCTTCTGAGTACTTAAGGGTCAAATTCCTTTGGTCCTTAAGTCAGTCTTAGTCTCAGCAAGACTGCTGATTTTCTTGGACTCAATTCCAAACTTTCTAGTAGGAGAATAAGACAAAGTGGTTGGGATTGCTACAGTGGTGGTTCTTTAAAACCATCAGTGGTTTAAGGAAAGGAAAAAAAAAAGCAATCTTGCATTCAGTGCCATCACAGGAATACAGGAATATTAGTATGGTATGGCTCTAAGCTAGAACTATAACATGAAACAATGAATACATTCATTACTAATGGCAAATAGTTATGCACAAAACAACGTCTGATGTGAAATTCGACAAAGTGCTGTAATGTAGAACGTTTACAGGATTATGTGATACAGAAATATCCGTGCATCTAGCCTGCTTGGATACTACAGAACTGCTAACTTTGGCAAGGGATGAGGGAAAAGAATCCATTCTGAAACTCCAGTGCTGGATTCCCCAGTTCTCTGTTTTTCTCCACAGGAAATGGTGGGCATCATCTTTGTGCCAGATGTGAAACTCAGAAACAAAAATTCAGCCACAAAGGTACTGAAATCTACTTGAAGAGTTTCAGTAATACAACAATGACAGCACCGATATTTATCCTTGAACAACACAGGCAGGAAGAACAGATCTGGACTAACAAATCTGTAAACAGAAACTGGATTGGAACTTTGTGGTCCCAGGCCCTCCACTACAACAAGACCTTTGCCCCGGAATCCTAGGCTTCTTTTATTCAAAAGACACTGACCCAAACATAATTTAAGTTCAAAAAGGAAAAACGTTTTGTTGTTGCCAACAATATTAAGGCTGTCAAAGAGCCACCACGTTATTCAGCAGCTGCAGAAACAGGTGCAGGTCTGCATATTCAGGTTTTCCCTCAGATATCCCAGGTAGGCACACAAATCATCATCAGAGGTGAAAATTGCCATTCAATACCCAAATCCCTTTGTAACAACAGGAGATGAATCAAAGCAAAAATTTATCTTCTGTATTGTGAAAGGCACTTATCCCAGCCTCCTTTTCACAAAAGGGTTTGCCAGGAGCTAGAAGCATGAGCACTTCACTGATTACGGTGTCCTGAGGATACAGCAGTTTGTTGCAGTTTCTTTTATTTTAATACAATCAGATGTATTTGCCTTCTCTCCTTCCTCCCTGTGCTTTTTATGTTTCTAAACCTGGACTGATGTGGTGGCAAATTTTGATGACATGACTAACCTGCTCGAATGGCAGATGTTTTGGTTTCAAGCTTGGCAGATACCACGTCCTACAAACAACTTTCCTCACTTAAAAAGAACGCAGTCCACCAAATCATCCCACTTTGGGAAATGAACATTGGAAATGAAGCAATTCGCTGATGAATTCAATGCAGGCAAACGTCTCAAAGACCCAGAATGGAGGAATTACTGGACTTCAGGGTAAAAGGTGAAGTACCACAGTATTTTGAGAAGCAGCTGTTGCAGCTCCTTCTCAGCCAACTCACCAAAGCCTCACAAAGAAGCGGATGCGAGGACCTGGTTTCATTCAAATTAAAACGGTGAACCTGAGCAGAGCTGCAGTTTGTCAAACATTTCTCACAGGTATTTCTCTTGTTAAGAGCCCCTTGCTCTCACTGTCAGGCCATTACAACTTCTACTATCTTACACTCAAAGTGGGAACTGATTGGAGCTCAACCAAGCATTTGAGGTTTGTTTCTATTTTTCTAGCTCCTATCAGTTCCAGAATCAGTATGCAGCATGGTACTTGCTTGAGTAAGGACAAGATGCCTGTGGGACCATCTAAGCTGAAAGATTTGGTTAAAATAAGTCTTTCCAGTTCAGTGCTGAGCACACGGAGACTGAGGTTCAAAATCCAGGTCTCAGGACACAGATTCTGCTGGGAAGCACTCAGCTCACCAGCAAACAGGAACATATGACAGTGGTACTCTTTGCATGTTTTCTGCCAGTGGTGTACAAGGGATGAGACACAGACAAACTATTTAAGCATGTTTTTCTCCTCTGTGAATATTGGTCTTCAGCCTCCTCCTTCCACAAGCCACTTCACTTTCTTTTCTCACATTAGTAAAAAGAATTGCATACACTTTGCGTGTAAAAAGGTGGTTTGAAATGCAAAAAGGCTCAACGTTGCCTCCCCAAATCCTCTGGAGAGTAAGTCAGTTCCATGATTTCAAAAAGGCAAATATGGCACAAAAGAAGGGAAATTAAGTTAAAAAAATCAATTTTATAAATATTCTTCCTTTGTACAATTTTCACAGCCCCGTCCCTCCCACACATTTTTATTCACATTTCTTTTTTTTTTTTTTTCTTTTTAATTCCCACCCCTTTTTTATCTTTAAATCATAAAATATATATTTAAAATCTGTTCATATTTAAAAATATTTACAGGGAAAGTTCCTTCTGTAGAGGTCATGAGGAGTCTGTACAAGGAGAGGGTGGAGGTGGGTAGAGGTGAAAGTAGCTTCGTTCTGTGGCAGGAGATGGAGGGCAACTTTCTTCTGCCGACATGTACTGGCTGCGAGGCGTGGGTGGAGGGGGGTAAGGGTCTGAGTCTGAATTTAAATCTATATAGTATTTGTTGGCTTTCCATCGACTAGTAGTATAGTCACTGTCACAAACATCTGTGCTGCACGGGGTTGTGGGTGGAGCTGTCCCTCGTATAAGGTAAGGCCTGCGAGGAAAAAGAAAGCACATGCATTAGTTGTGATTTTTGAAAAAGGGAAAGAAAGACATTGGAAAGAATGCCTACGTCCACAGTCAAGACAGCTGTTTTTTCATTCTATGTTAGCCATAACTCAGGTTTTCATAGGAACCAAATGAGAAGCACTTGAACTGGGTTAAAACTGAATGGCACAGCTATCCGCAGCCATTTTGTCAGCCTCTAACCTGGTGGTACATTCACAGATTTGGGCAGACAGAAAAGATCAACAAGACCACTTAGTTCAGAGCCTAATAACTAACAGATAGGTCAATCCATCAAAGAGCAGATAAGACCAAACTCTCCTCACAGGGTGCTAAGTGACCATTACAAAGCAATATAAATATAAATACACAGCATTCTTTATTGGCAACATTGTATTGAAAGGTGCTAAACCCTTGTTGCATCAAAATAAGAAATAAAGCTAATGTTTATGGGTCACAAATAGCATAAACTCAACTTGAATGGTCATTCATTAAGAGAGGGAAAGTTCTGTGTCTTTTTTTATTATTTTTTTTTAAATCAAGGCAAAGGTCTAAATAAGAACATTCTGTTTAAGAAGCAAAAGTAAAGACCAATGGAATATGCATCAAACCTCTTTATCTGAGCTGTACCTGTAAGATCTTGTGGTTGAAGGAATGTTTGAAGAATAAAACATCTCTGCGTTGTACAGGGAGCGATCAGTAGCTGGGGATGGAGGGGGGTTCAAGATCTAGGAAGATTAAAATCAGTACTTCAGTTTGAGTTAATTGCACAACTCTACTTATTTTGAAAATATTATTTACTCCTTCAGCGAGTCACTTGACCTTATTTTCTATTCCTCTCATTGCTGCTTGAGGGGATTGATGCTTTTTTTTAAAAAAAAAGATCATATAAGCTAATCATGAGACTTTATTTTGGGTTTGAATGTATTAAACAAATACGGGGCAGCAGGTGCAAAGCCAAGACACTTAGATTGCTCAGATTGCTTCTTTTTGTAGGTAATGCAAAGCTGGGTAAACACAAAGCTACCAGGAAGAAGTGACATTTGGGTCAGCAGTAACTTTAATATAGCAAAGCCACCATAGCAGCTTCTGTATAGAAATCTCTAAAAAAGCATGGCACTCTTTCTGAAGGCTGATATTGTCCCTGCAGGTCCTGGCTCACATAGCATTGAACTGGTAGAAGGAGAATTCCAAAGTAAGAGAATGGAAGAGTTTGGCCCACAGAAATATCAAAACATAATGGTACAGGCAGATCAGCTCCTGGGCCACTTTTGTCTTTCAAGATTTATTAAACTAATACTTTTTTTTTTTTTTTTTTTAAATAAATCCACCTACACTTTTTCTATTCATAGAATCACAGAATCCCCTTACTGTGGCACTGATGCAATAACTGGGCACTAGCATGAAACTGTTATAGAGACTCTGGTAAAGCATGAGACACATTAAACGAGGAGCTCTCCTGAATTCCAATATCTGACTCACAGGCATATCTTCAAGACATACCTGTGGGTAGAAAGTGGCTTTAGTGCTGGATGAGCTACTAGAAGAGGCTCCAGTAACATGGTTTCTGTCATATAAGGGGGCACCACTGCTCCCTCCCATGAGGCTCATGGAGCTAATCATAGACTTTCCACAAGAGATGCCTGCAGTGAGACAGAGAGGAATCCAAGGTTAGGTAAACCACAATTTCATCTACTAATGCAAACCAGAAAACAAATCCAGAGCTTGGCAAATCCACGTAACTCTACTGGTTGTTGCTTTTGGAATGATCTTTTACATAAAAACTTCAGGATTACAAAGAACAACACATTTTCAATTTTATATTATGTAAAGCAAACACTTCACCCTTAGACCACCTATTGTGACTCTGCAGCTCCTCACAAGGCGTGCTCTCAGTCTGCTGAGAAAGGAATCTCCAGATCAGCTGATCCAAATTTTCCACCCAAATTGTTAACGGAGAAATTTTTCAACCAAACAAATTCAGGCATTTGTAAAGATAAGCACTATATGCTGCCCAAGAGAAACAAGCCAGAGACATCCAAAGTTTTCATTTCCATCCAATGAAATTCAATTGCAAGTACATGAACAAGAGCAAAAACAATTACTTATTGAAAAAAAGAAAAACCCACACCCATTTTTTAAAGTGAAAAAAGGAAGGAAACCTGGATGACAGGAAAAGGGGAAAACAATGTTGTCTGATTTAACTCAAAGATGCACTTAAATCAGACTACGTATTCTCAGATTCCTTCTGTCAAAATATTCAGTGCCAATGGAAGAGTTTAGTTCAGAAGCTTTCAGAAATTTTTCTGAGAAAAATGTAGGAAATATTGGGAAATATTAGGAAAATTGGGAAATATTTAAGAAAAACAGGATGATTCTATTTGTGACCACCGTTCATGACCACTCATTTTTTTGAAGCACCTTGCTTCAACCCATGTCTTCTCATTAGAATTAACATCAATGGTAAGACTGCCAGCTGCTATAAGTTGTCATAGCAATACAAAGCTGTGAAAATCTGTGGCAGCTGGATTAGAAAAAAAAAATAACGATGAACAGGAATCAGACTGACAGCTTAGTTTAGCACCTACACTGGTACAAATGAAAGCCTCTAATAGTCCCTTTAATTATAAAAGCTTTAATATGAAGACTAGTTTAAAAAACCACTGCAACGATTTCACCTGCAATGATTTCATCCTCAAATTTTATTTCCTACCACAAAGCCTTGATAACCATAAAAACAGATTACAAGCAGGAACAGCTGCCCACAGCCATTAAAATGCAGGAAAGCATAAACCTAAGTTGTATCTGGCTGTCTTAAGACCCTGGTTGGAAGAAAGCAACAGCACAACTCAAAATGTTGTCTACACAAAGAAGTGTAACATCTGTTCATTTGTCTTTTTCAATGTGCTTGAATTTCAGTTGACAGGAAAAGCAGATTCCAAGTGCTCTGAAATATGGATCGTTGTGTTCTAGCTCTGTTGGGTAGGTTTACAGGTCACCATTTACTTTCCATATTCCCAAACAATACAAAGAAATATTCTCTCTTCTCAGGGCTTTGCAGTTAGAAATGAACTATCTCCTCTATGAAAAGTATATCCTACAGTTGTAAATTTGAAATATATCACATAAGCGTTTACTTTGATGTCTATGTGAGGTCTCTTAGCTGTCAGCCCTTATGCGAATATCCCAAGCTTTTACACATATTTAAAGACCTCTACCTCAGCCTCTACTTATTATCTGCATATAGTTCTCTGGGTGGCTGTTTTGATTATTCGGCAAGGTAAAGAAATTCTGCTTTTTTAGAGATGAAGAACTGAGACAGAGAGAGGACAAATACGTCGTTCAAAAGCAAACAGGAAATCTGTCTCAGAGATGGACTAAACCAAAGGGATGCTTTCGTTACACTTCAGGCAACAGTCAGCTCTTAATAACCTGCAAAACCTCAAATCCAGGCAACGTAATGGTACTTACTAGGGTTCTTGCCATCCTTACCAGTAAAAGTGCCATGCTGAGAACTTCCAGGAGCAATGAAATTAAGAGGGACGTGAGGCGTGCCACTGACATACTCATGTGGAAAGGGGCTGTTGGGCCCAGCGTAGCGCTGACACACCACTCGCTGGCAAACAAAGTACATTCCTCCCATGACAAAAAGGGAAAGTATTATTCCAATGACGGGACCGATGGCACTGCTGTGGGGCTGAGGTTCATCCGAGGATGGCTTTGATTTTTCTGGAAAAGGGGAGGAAAAAGAAGGATGTCATTAAATACGGCAATATATATGATGCTGTCCTGGAGCTTGCGTAGTACGTCAGTCAGCCCAGTCATTTACATCGTGCCTTTGCAAGTCCCTGCATTTTACTCAGACATGTCTAACTACATTGGTTCGGATTATTAAGACTTCACACGCTCTCTTTCCTCGCGTGCAAATAAAGCAGTAACAGCTTCTTTCTGTCTAGCAATTCACTGTGTAAGAGGATTGCTTATTGTCTTGATATAACAATGGCCAGGATAATTTTGTTTTTAAGATTTGACTGGTGGGCAAGCTACAGTACACATGGAGCAATGGATGTCTTCCCAGCTAAAAGCTCTTGAAAGAGTGACATTTTAGGATGGAAAAGTGTTCTAAGCGACCATTAAAAACTTCACAGATTGGAATAAAAACCAGAACATCTCAAACACTTCCTACTTCTTATATTTTTTCCCTCATAAAGCCCAGTGTTAAATAATAAAAACTACTGCAGTACTTGAGATGAGATTTGATACAGATCATATCTCCCATTGACTACATTCTAAATTCTTGCCCCTCAGTTGAAGGGAATGCAGAACTGAAAGTTGAGAAGGAAGATAAAGGAGATGTAAAGAACTACCAGTGAACTCTTAGCAGCTCAACATCAAGAATTCATTTCTGTCTTTCTTACGAGCGCATAACAACTTATAGGTCAGCCAAGGACTTAACCTTTAAATAGGCAGATTAACTCAGATATGATACCAGAAAAAAGGCAAAACCAGAACTAAAACATATTCTCAAATTAGCTAGTTTAAACCACAAAATTCTCATTTTGGTTAAACCTTGTTTCTTTTGAATGCACAATCTTCATCCTGAAAGTAGCAATCATTTTTATTTCTTACTTGACTTTCCCTCAGTCAAGCAAGAAACCACAGAATGCTCTGTTCCACAAAGAAACTCCAGAAGAGGCAGTCTTTTGTACATAAGGACCCATTTAAATCAGTTAAGACCTAATCGCAGGACAAGACCCAAAGTGCAAACAGGAAACAGTTGCATTAACTTGGCACCACAAAAGTTTGCCAAGTGCACAAAGAAAATAACAAAAATAAAAATGAAAGAAAAAGTAGCTTCACAGTATCCAAGGAACTGGGGGGAACCGAGTGAGGGCTGTGAGTTAAACGGGATATGTGGGAGGATCAGAAGAAGCACGTGCGATCTGAGATTTCCAAAAGGAGAGCTAAACAGATTCTCTAATTCTGATTCTTTTAGCCTTTTCTCTTTTTGCCACCCTGGCCATTTTCAGCACTCTTGCTCATGAAATTCACTTTTCCTTGCAGTTCCCACCCAGAGGATGGAAGAAAGAAACTAATTTGACCTAGTTAGTACAGGGCCAAGATTCATTAGTCTTCCCTGAAAGAATCTTACTGTGGAGAGACTGGGGCTTTGCATTTAGTTGTAAGGTGTTAGAGCTGAAAACAGAGCACTTGATCTCAAGCAAAGACATCTCACCACACATGAGCTCATCTGAGCCGTCGATGCAATCTGGAAAGGAGTCACACTGTTGCTTCAGAAGGATGCACTGGCCACTGGCACATCGGAACTGATTGAGCAGACAAATTGCTGCACAGAAAGAAAGGGAAGATTAAGTATGACTTGCATGGGAGCGTTCAACAATCTTAACAAAACCAAAAGATGTCAGTAGTGTCAAGCCACAATGCATCTTTGTAATATAAACAGGCATCAGAAGACCTGTTTTGCTGAAGTAGGTAAAAGTCAGCACTTTTCTCATTCTTCCTTTGCACTGTTACAAGTCCTACTTAGTGAGACTCATATAAAATTCCAAAACACCACATTTTTGCCCAGTTGGGGCAAAACTGAACAAATCAGCAAGGATCTTTCGTAGTTACTAAATAAGTGTAATCGACATGTTAAAATGTGGTTACTGAAGATACAATCAAATCTTATATAGTCCATACTACCTTATACCATTCTGTCAAACACAACTCTGTCATATTTCTTATCTACATCCACAAGTCTCTGTTTCAGTAAAATTCTTAACTGAATTCTTAATTGATTTCAAATTCTATGTGAATTCAAACTGCATTAAATTATCAGAAAAGAGACTGTCTTATTAAGGCCTGTAATCAGCAGACCTGGAAGGTTCACTTTGGAGAAAAAAGCAGAATCAAGTGGACAGTTCTGCCAGACTTGCAAGCTAAGGCTGTCCTTCCCCATTTGAAACTAAAAATCATGAACATGCATCAAAACAGAATCTCAAACAGCTGCTTATGTCAGAGTCAAGAGAAAAGGAAAATGAATCTTACTATCACAATCCACTTCATCAGATTTATCTTGGCAGTCAATTTCTCCATTACACCTCAGGTGCGCATCAATACATTGTCCTTTCTCACACTGGAACTGAGCTGCAGAGCATATTGGACAACTATCCTCATCGCTCTGGTCATCACACTCAGGGAACCCATCACACCGCCATGCCATTGGGATACAGTCAATCTCTCCAGTTGCACAGGTAAACTGGTCTGGGGAGCAAGTTGGAGGTTCTGGGGAAAGAGAAAACAAAACACGTGTGCATTCATTCAATTTTAGCCCTTTAACAGAGTGAAAATGTGATGGAAATATTCTGCACATGGAGAAAAAGATGCTTATGCCTGGACTGAAGTTCTTTAAAAATGCAAACTGTTTTTGAAGTGCTGTTGTCCTCCTGCAGTAAGGAGAAATGTTCAAGAATGAGACAAGTAAAATCAGGAGCTTGAAAAACAAATACACAAAGTAAAAATCCATATGTTTAAATTTTGACATTCCTATGATTTCTAAGTTTCTAAGATATGATTACTGGGTGTAGCAATTCTGAGGTTTACAAACCCAACCAGTGACCTGGCAGCTGTAGATATGGTAAGGATGCCAGACGGACGCATCAAGATAATTCTGGAATTAATTTGTATAGGAGCATACTGTGTAGATAATCCAGCAGACAGATTACTATTTCTGCATCTACAGCCACATTTAATGTTGCATTACGGTTGCACTTGGCAGGCACGAGTTTGCATTTAAAAACTTGCCAAGTGTGTTCATGAGAATATATGAACAAAACTTTCCCCAACCAAAACAGCTACCAACCTATTCTGAAATACTTGCTATGAGCTACTACTACTGCAGACAAGACAGACTACAAAGCTGTTGCAATCTTAGTGAAGGATCAGAATGAAAACAAGAAGCAGAGACTGAAAGAAAGGCCCCTTAATTTTAAGATTCATGTGGGAAGACAACAAAGCAGTGAACTAAGCATCTCTCATTGGCCAGGTTTTTCAACAGAAGTACAGCAAGAAGTATAAGGAGATTGTTTTATTTTTCCTCCTGCAGATGTAACCTCCACTATTCTGAAACCACACAGTGTGTTGTGGTCATGGGAAAGAAAACAGTTTATAATGGAAAGGACTGTCCCATGGGAGGTCAGAGCTCAGCCAGAAAAATGAAATCCACAACAAATTGAATACATAAAAAAAGCCCAGAGGACCAAAAGAGCCAAATAATTTAACACAGGATACCTCTCAAAAAAGAAATATTTTTTTCCCCCCATTTTAAATGCCCTCTGCAATAGTAAGGTAACAATTATCAAAATTCCTGGGGCTGTGAAAGGGCACTGTGAAGGGAATGTCTACATGGGGAAAGACAACAGCTACCTTAATTAAAAAGAACTGCAACTGAGGTTTTGAACTGTCTGTCACTAATGACACAGCACAGTGTTTCATGTTATCACATTATTTGAAAAGCTGGAGTACTGCAGGAATCATACATACAGTTTCAACAGAGATCATCATTGGTTACCAACATTGTTACACACATTCATTTACAGTACGAACTGCCACATCATACAATGATGCAAATCTCAGTAGAAGATGCAACCATCGTATGGTCTAACAAGGGTGTTTTGCACACAGTGAAAAGTCAAACATGTCCAAAAGTTGAAGCAGAAAACAGCCAGCAGAAAAGGTGCATTTAATACAGAATTCAACATCACGTCTAGTATGTATAAATCCACGTTCTGGATTCAAACACAACCTCCTGCAGGAAGTTCATATAATCTTGTACCACATGGAAGTCGAGTACTGTGGCAGGCAAGTTTCTTGCAACAGTAACCATTTGATTCTGGTCATTCTGATTTCATTCATTGTTGGTTTTGAAAATATCTTCTTCCAGATAGACAGTTCTCAAAACTTAGCAGCATGTCACAGACCAAATTTGATATTCCAGGGGTTCTTAATTTTCTTTTTTTTCCAATGTAAACCACTTAGCAGCACTGCTAAACATAACTCACCTCCACATGTTAAGAGATTCTGCAGGAGCACAAGGTGCTCTGGGCATGAACACCTTGGAGTCCCATCCCCTTTGGCAATGCAGATGTGTGAGCACCCACCATTGTCACGGGAGCACGGATGTGCAGCTGGAAAAGCACACAGAAAGAATGATTAGATAGTGTTAAAACAAAAACCAAAAAAAAATCTTAGCTACTAGCTAAGACAAACTCACAAAGCCACCCACAAAACATTTCTAGTTGAGTAACTAAGATTTCACTGCAAATTCATAGGAAGGTAAATGCAAGGTTTTTCAGTTCTGTGCTCAGAAGCTGATTTACTACTTCATGAGGACTATATTTCTCCTGGTTGCAGTGATACGGAGACCTTCAAAGAACTTATAAATTGAATTTGGGAGCTCAGGTGAAGAGAAGTGAGGAAGGAGATTTCAGAAGGACATGTTTAAGGCAAACCCAGACATCCCATCCGCACTTCTCTGGTTGCCACGCACCAAGAACTGACAGTCATTGCTGCAGAATGCCAGCCCACCAAACCCTGAGGAAAATTTGCTTCTAATTTCCAAGACCTCTTACTATCCAGTCCTATCCTCCACGCACCATCAGCACTTCCCTGTTACTCACAAAACTGCAACATGAGCACACACAGTTACTTATATATTTGTAAAATGGGAAGCTACATGGCTATGTTCCCAAATCAGTTACTGAAAAGTGCAGAGAACACAATAATTTGTAATGAAATCAAATTAAGGAAGTGTTAGTTGGATGAGAAACTGGCACAGACAGGTGAAGGCACTGCCTGAGGATCCCAGCCCAGCTGAATGCTTTACAGCATCTGCTGGAGTGATCTGTGAGGCCAGAGCCTGTTACTCACGATGCCACTGCATAATGCTTTCTTTACTACCAGTAAGGATCAGGAAGTTCCACTAGGAAGAAATGGTAGTTATCACTACTTCTGTACCAAAGTTGTTTTCCATCTGTTCAGGCTTCTCAGCAGTCTGCTTTCACCTTTAGCAAATTCATCAATTTAACACAGTGTTGGAGACACCACTGTTCGAAGCACAAGCAGGAAAAGTGCCCTCATGTACATTTGTGTGGGCATGCACATGCATGTGCTTATTTTTACTCTCCTGTTGTAACAGAAGTTGCCTACATTGGACAGATTTCAGATGTAAAAAAGTGCTTCCTTTCAGTGCAACTCAGAAGAAACATTACCCTTGCCATAATAAAATAAACATTCTTGAAAACATATGGGATATAAAAGTCCACTCTCCCCCTGTTTTCTTATTAACAGTGTTGAGATTTAAAGAAAAATTGTTTTTCCATCATTGTGTACTTACTACCTTTGAAATGCACTAAAATATGAGAAATGGCACAGAAGAAGAAAAACTGAGTGTTGTGAAAAGAAAAAAAGAACATCTGGATAAGGATTAGCAAATAGAATCAGCTACAGCTTAAATACACTACCTTCCTTCCAACAGTTTACCCATACAGGCAAGCTTGCATTCATGTGCATCCTCCCTATATAAGACTTCTACCCCCAACCCTCCACGTACTGGAAGCATTACTCCTCTCCAGACCTCAGACTTACATTCCCTTAGTCTGCCACACTGTAGTCTTGTACTCCCTCATCTTTCCATAGGGCAAGGTGGAATATGGATATAGGGGAAAAACTTTACTGCCCAAAAAAATAAAGTAAGGATATTCCTCTTCCCAGGTTTCTTCACTCTGCATTCAGTGTGCCTTGGGGGGAATATGAAATATAGGGATCATCTACAAGAGTTTGCTGCTTCTCTCCCTGCAACAGTAGCACATCCTGAGGTAGCTACCAAACTGGCCTATTTCTATGAAGAAGGCAGCATGAGGATGGATGAAGGTTTCTGCTGTCTCCCAGGTACCTACTACAAAATAATCCTGCACAGAATGTTTGAAGTTCAGCATTCAGAGAGCAGGAACTGAGTAAGTAAGCCAGAAAAATAAGGTCCAACATAACCGACCTCTTTCAGAATGGAGCACCTAAAATGGCTCCACTTCTAATCAAGGAGAAATTCCACATCCACAAAGGTATGTTTTCAGAGCATCCTGCCTATTCTCCTTCCCTTACTGGAGGCTTTTATACCATCTGCCACCCTGAGTCAAACCAGTCATGCTTTACAAATAGGTCTGAAACCCCACGAGAAAAGGCAGGTACTATTCCCTTTTCTTTCTTTATAAAAGTATTTCCAACTCTGTTACTTGGTTGTACTTAAAAAATTAGCAATCATTAATTGTTTCTAAACAGCTTTGAGAGTTAATTCACTATCATGCGACCTGGTACAAAGCAGTTAACTAAGTGCTGTGAAATCACATATTACAGCTGTGCAAAAGGCCTCCTCTGGACAAGAATGAGAAACTAATTTCTTCTCCTCTATCATAGTCCAGCCCCTCAAGTTATAAGCACTCCATGGCCTAAGCTAAAGCCAATATTATTGAAACATGCAGCTTGAGACAGTGACCAAGAGTGAAAAACATCTGGTATTCGAAGAAACTCACAGAATTCCTCCATATCAAGTTCCTCCACAGCATGAATGCCTGTTAGGTGAGCAATTCGGCCTTGAATTCTAGTCCTTTTGTACCCATTAGTTTTCTCCACTCTCTCAATCATCTGCTGCTGCCGATCAATCCAGTACAGGTGATTCCCCAGCACAGTCAGTCCCATTGGCTGAAGGATGTTGGAGTCCTCCAGAGTCACACGGTTAGCACCTGAGATCAACAGAAACCATTTCTAATTCATTTAAAAGACAAATAAAACCCATCAAAAATAAACAAAGAAACACCACTTTTTGAAACAAACAGAAGCAATCTCTGAGGTTTCTAAACCCAGTTCAGCAGCAAAGTAGAAAACCTCCATGTTCAGGGAAAATGGAATTTAAATTTAACTTATGGAATTTAAGTTTTGGACATTTACACAAAATGAGATTGTGGAATTTGAATACATAATAAAAATGCTGACGAGCACTAGATTCAACTAATTTACTGCATAAATTATGTACAGCGCAGCCAAGCATAAGAACGTAACATTGATTCCAATTAGAATGCTATTAATTAACTGCCTGATGCTAGTTCACTTCCTTCTGTGCTTCTTGTAAGAATTTCCTTTTTTGCACACACAATGAGAATGCATCACAGAGATTGGATCCTATGTGTCACATGGCAGATTTCTCCATTTTTTCAGCACTGTCAGCTGCTTTGCGTATTCAGCGATTAAATGCTCTGCAAGAACTTTGTGCTGCTGTTCCTATGGATGTGAAGTAATGCTTTATTTTACCAATGTGGGAAAAGTGCAACAAATCTCCTTCCACTGTTTTGCAACACCAATGCATCACACATCAGCTGCCTTATCATCTCTATTAGAAGAAAGCCACTCCCCTTTGGTTTGTTCTTCAAGCTACCTTAATATAGTAGGCTGCAAACTCTAAACACAAGAAAAATTGAGGAGTTACACCAACTTTTTAAATCACAGGAAAATAAAAGGAGGGAGCAATCCAGAGGTTCTGTGATGGCTAACACCTATTTAAATCTGATCTTGCAAGAGTTGCAAGATACCAAAAGATATCAAAAGTCAAATGTCCCTCTTAGAGAGCAGCAACCATTACAGACACATTTATTCCAATCACATCAAAGAAGCCCACCAGTAATTGTTAGCTGTGACTGCCTGCACAGAAATGGCAACTGTAAAAGCTATTGGGGTCAGTATCAAAGAAGGAATAATGTCCTGTACACACAGGCACATGCTGCTCCAAATATCTAACTGCATACCACATACCTGACAGGTCACAGCTTTCGATGCGCTTCAGATCTGCGTCCACCCAGAAAAGCTTTCCCAGTTTGTTGTCAATCACCAGTGCTACTGGTCGGATCAACCCAGTCGTGAAAAGCACTTCCCTCTCTGTGCCATCTAGGGCTGCACGCTCAATCTTGGGAGCTCGCTCTTGCATGTTGGTGAAATACATGTACCTGTGAACAAAGGCAGGAGCTGCTTAGATGAGAGCTTCAGAACTCAGGGCAAGTAGCTCATATTTGCACATGGGTTCTGAAACCATAAGCGTGAACAGCTTACGCAGGGATGACTGTGGTGGCTGTTGCTCCCCACAGGAAAGATCCAGATCTAACCAGCTGCTGAACCCCAAATATTTGCTAACTGGCATGTTGAGACATTTCCATTATCTCTTGATGGCAAATTCCCCAATAACCCCAACAGGTTACACTACTGACAGCAATTTGTGATGGTGTAAATGAAGAGTGGCAGCAATCAGAACACAGAGTCAATGGAGAGGAAGGCTTTCTGGAACTAAGGAAGGACAAGTTCAGGACAGAGATCACTAATTCAGCCCTCCTAGGTACCCACTGCATTCAACACAGTCTCTCTGCCATTTTGACCTCTTTTAATTTAAAAGCATATTTACCTTTAAGTTATTTAAAAACCTGGAATAGAAAAGCTGAGTGTTTAAGAGATCAGCAAAGCTAAACTCCCATTTTAACAGAGAAAGCAGAAAAGCTTATATAAACACAAACCATGTCCAAGTGAGTCAGTCCCAATAAGATTAGCATCTTTCCTCTAATCCCCCTCTCCCCACAGCAGCTTTTGAACTGTGAAGAGTATATTCAGAACTGCACAAAAAAAAAACCAGTCCCACAGATGTTCCAGATAGAGTCTCTGGGTGCTGCTGCATCCACATGGTTATGACATATTGTCATTCAACATCTGTCAAACACATGGTAAGCCATCTATCAGTAAACTGGCATTTAAGCATCAGCACACACAGCTGATACACATCCCAAACGTGTTCTGTATGAGGTATAAGAAAGGAATCTCACCCCCGCTCTGCATTCACTACGATGGCTCTGGGCTTGTCGTGCTCGCCTCGCAGCACCATCCCTATTGACTCGCCGTTCAGCCTGTGAACGTTGACGGAGTTTGTGGCCTCACAGGTCCAGTACAAGGTATGGCTGTATATATCAATGCTGAGGTCATGTGGCTGCTTCTCTGGGTTCTGGCTTTGGTTTGGAGAGCTCATGACAGTAAAAGGCTGCAAGACAGCATTTAGAGAATGATTTCCAGTCATTGCTCCATAAGAACTCCGTACAAAAAGCACCGTTTACCTACGTGAGCACCCAGAAGAGCCTAAGACCGCAAGGAAACACCAAATAAAATAACTGTGACAAAGCATAACAAAAAAAATACATGATTCAAATTGTAGATGTGAGGAAAAACATCAGAACAAAATCCATAAGACTATGCAAAACCCTCCTTGGAGCCTCCTATAAGTAGAATTAATTAGCAGAAGACGGAAGAAAACAATAGTGCATGTTTGCGCACAGAACAATCTTGAAGAAAACAGCAGAACAAACAGGGCAGTCTCCTGGCAAGATGTGTACTGTTACCCAGCCAGCTGAATATATCTGAATCTCCTCCTAAAGGCTCCTTTCTGTAGCACAGCAGATAATTTAAGACCTGCTTCTTATAAATTCAGACCTTCCAATGAAACCTAGTCTGTTTGCTCACACATCAGATGGCCACAGATTCACCTCACAATTGTACTAACATTACTTTGCACATAATAGTACATAACCCTTTTGTCACTATGAAGTTCTTCACAAAATCTGACATTACTGTCAAGTTTCAGGAACCATTACCCTCAACTCCCCCACAACCTGCCTCCAAATCGAACTACCATAGTAGTTACTCTCTATATACTATATATCCAACATGCACTTCAATACTTTATTTCCATGAAGAAAACACTAAAGCATACCAAGAGTCCCCAAAGGAAAACTATGCTTCTGCTGTTTCTTTAACATCAGAAACATTTCAGTAGTGCACTCCTAATCCCAGTGCCACTTAGATACTAACACTGATGGCAGGACTTGCAACATCTAAGCATTTTTCAAAGATGAATGCTACTAGTCAGATGATGAAGGTCAGTGGAAGTGGTGGCTTCTTCAAGTGTCCTAATAGGGCATTCCCCATGCAAAACTGAAAACAGCAGCAGAAAAAGGTTGTATGGGTCTAGAAAGATGAACACACTATAATGTACTCAGCTTATGTCAAAATGAGTCACTCAGAACTACTTCAGAAAGTTATGTTTCAATAAATTGGTTCTAATCCACTGAGTTCTACATAGCAATATAATGCTTCCTTTTTCTATTTAAATCTTTACCCCTGCTTTTGCTTGACCAGCATGCCCAGAAATACTGATGAATAGGTCTTTTATTGAAATTGAGGGTAACATTACCCAGGTATGAACGCAATATGAATCATCTGCAAAAAGCATGAATTAGCATGAATTAGCAAAATTCAGTAAAAAATCATTAGTAAAAATTGGTAAGTCAAAATTTGCAGGGAATCTGTGTCTTCAAAGCTATCTGACCAGCTTAGTGGAAAGCAGAGCAGATGAATCTCCATTGCAATTTGCACCTAGCAAGTACCAAAGAGAAGACAGACTGCAACAATTAGCACCTAGTATAATCAACAAAAACACTTCAAAATTCATCCACAACCCAGCTAGCTGCTTATACTAAGAGACCTCCTCCCATTCTAAAAAGAGAGATGGCCAAAAAGTAAAATCACAAACTATTTCTTTAAAGGGTACTGTAAAACCACTGATTCCCCAGATGTATGAAGAGGCCAGCCCAGTTCCACTGAAATCATATTACGTTGTTTAGATAACTGCTCAGAACAAGGAAAATATATGTTGCCTATTCTCCATTTCCTTTTGTGTTCTTATTCAAACTGTAGCTTTTAAATGATCTGTTATCCTGTCCTGGGAGTTAAGCTATGCTAACATACACAGAACACTGCCCAAAAGAACAGCACACTTCTTTCTACTGTTGTGTGAATAGCCCAAAACAATTATGCACCCAACCCAATAGAACAATGAAGCACGTGAATGAGCCTATCCCCATCTGACACAACAATCAGTTGTACATTCAATCAGGATTTAACTACAGCTTGTATAAAGAGAGTCTTCATTTTGCAAGAGCTTTACTATGATGACAATATGATCACACAACTGGCATGAAAGAATATTGATATTAAACTACTGTTTTTTCTTGAATATAATTTAGACAGTGAATCACCCTTACTTCATTGCCCACACTTAGCTAAACATCACAGTTCAAGGCTTGCAGTTTCAGATACACATGGTGCACTACATTCTGTTACACTACTTCGTGTACACATTAAAATTCACAATCCTGAAAGCCCTCTGTCACTTTCACATACAAACAGAATATATGTGAATAAGCATTGGCAAGAATAAAGTTTAGACTGATGATCCTTTGGTGCAAGGGACAGGAGGAGAAAGTTATAAAGCTCAGAGAACAACCCACACAAAATCATATACACCATATAAACTTGCCTGAGTGCCATCATCTTTGGCTCTTTTTATAATATTCTGACGCCCATCTACCCAGTAAATCAATTTATCTAAGGGATCATAATCAATAGCCTTCACGTTCCTTAGACCATGCATAGGCAGGATGATATCTGGACTTTGCTGATCGTCAGGTATCATTCGGCTGATGGCAGATTTCTGGCTGAACAACAGGAAACTGGTTGGAGCTGAAAACAAGACAAAACAGAATGCATAAGAAAATGTGACTTACGTGGTCAAACATACTGCTGGAAACCAACACAAAAAACAATGAACACTGAGGATAAAATCTCAAATGGACAACTATGTTCACACTGAAAACTAAATAAGCTTTTGAGAAATAGTCAATATTTCTCAAAATAGTCCTCTTGAAAGTCAGTTTTGACATTAAAATCAAGTAAGATCAAAGGATGTATGTGAAGCCTATTGTACTCCAAATAAGTACAAATAAGTCCAAATAAGAGATACTGGCAGTGTATGAAGGGGTTTGAGCTGCTTTGGAAGTATTTGGTGCTGAAGTACAACTCTTGTTGACACCCCAACTGCAAAGAGTGAGCAGCTGCACAGCGCTCAGCTGCCTACCAGATTTAATCCACAACTGTCCTTCCTGGCACCCAGAATGAAGCACGAAGAGTTTGAGATAGTAGCAGATTTGACTGGAGTGTGTTAGATTGTATTTATGATTGTTTAGTTACTAATTGGCAGGTCATGTTCTTAGTCCAGAACCTGCTAGCTTACTGTGTATTGGGAGCACTTGTCAGTGGCTGCCACTTGCACTTTTGTTGTTTGCTGCACTCCTTATCATCTTGCTCTACTTGCCTGGAAACAGTTTGATAATAGCTATGGACATGAGCCTGGGCTGGCAGATGGCCAGGGAACTACTGCAGCAGTACTGGGCAGTCTGGAATTACAGCATGAATTCAAGATGGACTGTGACCTGTGGATAAGTCCACACTGAAGCAGGTATACCCCATAGCATCTGTAACCATAGATAAGGCTACGATGAAGCAAATATGCCTCTGAAAGGACCACAGCCCATGGTTAATGAGAACGTATTGGATAGCACAGGACCTGAGCATGACAGGGTATGGAATAAGGGGTGGAGATTGTACTGGTTTTGGCTGAGACAATTTTCTTCATAGCAGCTTGTACAGTCCTATGTTTTGGATTTTTGACAGTGTTGATAACACACCTATGATTCAGTCACTGGTGAGCAGTGCTTACACAGGCTCAAGGCTCTTTCTGCTGCTCACGTTGCCCCACCAGCCCATCAGGTGGGGCTGCACAAGAAGTTGGGTAGGGACACTGTAAGGACAGCTGACCCAAACAGACCAAAGGGATGTTCCACCCCATATGATGTCATGCTCAGCAATAAAACTGGGGGAAAGGAGGAAGAAGTGAGAAGCACGTGGAGTTACGGAGTCTGTCTTCCCATTTAACTAGAATTTTCTCACACTATCCCTTCTGACTGATCCTATTCCCCTGTGCTGTGGGCTAGTGAGTAAGTATCCGAGTGCTGCTGAGCTGCCCACAGGGCTCTATACTGAAAGTGATCACAAGCACCTGATGACCAGAAGAAACTTACAACTGCAGTTCCTGCTGTTGGGATCCAAGGTATAGTGCGCAGCACAGCCACATCTAAATCCATTTGGTATGGCAAGGCACAGGTGACCACAATGGCCATTATTTTGCACACAATCATTTAAGCCATCCTGACGTGAAGAATGGAAGACCAAAATATCCATCACAAAATCCAGATGGCCCTGAATAAGCGTCCTGTTCTTCCCATTGGTCTTGTCTGCTCTTTCTATACTGTGAAGATTCCAGTCTGTCCAGTAGATGTAGTCACTGTACTGGGTCAACCCAAATGGATGAGGTAGATCATCTGCTATGATTTCTCGTTCTTGTCCTGCAAAAATAACGAAAATCAAGTAAAGCACAATTCCCAGGTCACAAAATGGAGAATATGACAGACAATTAAAAAAAAAGCTTTTTCCTTCTTTTTAAAAACAAAACTCAGTCATTATCATTTCCCCAATCATTATCATGGGATTCATTATTAAGCAGTACCTGCTGAAGTAGCAACCTACATATTTGCACTTAAAAACCTTATTCTGATAACCTCTTCACTATGGAGCAATTTGAAATTGTGACAGTGTATTGCCATTTCAACAAATACTGCTGTATTTCTTATGCATAACACTCCAATTAGATTTTGAAAAGCACATTCAAGAATGCTACCAGCTCCAAGGAATTACTCAGATCAACAACAAAATCAATATGCACAACAGCAATAAATACCAAACTTGAGATTCACAGAGAACCAACTAAGAGAAATTATAGCATTTTACTCAAGAAACAAATCATTTGCAGTGTAATTCAAGACACAGAAACCTAAAGTGATTTTGAAACCGTTTGTTTGGCAGAAATCCCAACACTGTCACACTTAGTGGCTCAGTTAGCAACATTCAAAACAGATTTAACACCTCTAGAGCAGTTGACAGCCTCTGCCAGAGATCCACTACCGAAGTCTTGATATAAGTCCCATAAACATTTTCAAAACTAACTTCTATGAACTGCCACTTTATACGAAGATGAAGCCTTATCAACACTGTACCTCCCTTACTCACACGAATATCCAATGCTATTGTTCTACAGAACACTACTTTCACTTCTAGCCTAACAACGCTGCCTTAATTGATGAGCCCACTTGCTGGAAGCCTACCCAAGTCTTTAGAATCTGCTAACTAAAAATACAAGCACACAGCTGTGTTAGCTTCAGCACTCCTCCTCACCGCAAATGCTAATGCTAACCATAGGTTCTGCTCAAAAACTGGTTCAATTTACCACAGATTATTTGAATATTATGTTTCTTCTCAATACCACAATCAGCTTTTAGTCCAAATCTGCCCCCAGCTATTTTGTTTCTCCAAGTAAATACAGAATTTTAGCGAGAGCTCTGACAGATCATACATTGGATGGAAAACACCCCCCACCAAAACTCTGGAAAACAAAGCAACCTTAAAGCAATTTCGAAGTAGCAGCATTTATTCAGCAGAACTTATCCCAAAGACAAAGTCACCATTAGCCTTGGAATCCAGAATTGCATGGCTCTGCTCTCCTAAGCTTTAACTGTGTTTTGTTTTTTTTTTTGTTATGGCTTTTTAGAACATTCTTTCTCTAAACATCCACCTCTAACACCATCTTGTGAATAAACATCAGTGTTTTACTGTAGCTGGAGATCAAGACAATGCATACATAAGTCAAAACTGATACACAGTAATCACCAGAATAATGTGTGATTCCTTCTGGCACTTCTTTTTCTTGGAAACACACAGTGGTCTACTGAGAAACTATCAAAGTAATTATTATATTTAGCTCATCAGCTGAAACTGAAGACCTGAAGCTCATAATAACACCTTAAAAAAATATATCTCATTCTAATGGTAGGTTTTCATGGAAGATATAAAAGTAAATACAAATGGCTTGCAGGGAAATAGTGCATGTCATCAACCAGAGCATTGCTACAAGAATCCTGTACAAGTTTCCTTAAATACTGTATGTTGGACACATCAGCCTTGTTCTTTATTTTGGGATACCAGAGCTGCTGATTCCCATCTAACAAAGGCCTCTCCTTGGAAACGGAATGTATGATGTCAAGTCACAAGCTTCTGGATTCCACCTCTGATTTTACCATGGATTTACTGAGTGGTATTTGGAAGCTTACATAACCTCTGTTTTCTCACACATGAACGTGACCAACCTTACCTACTACCATGAAGACTATTTTATAATTATAGGACAGTTAAAAGATACAAAAAGCTCTATGTCAGCTGCAAAAAAATCCGAAATTATCTCATTTCATTATATTAATTATGTTGATTCCAACAAAAAAGTTTACTAAACCATAGCATACCACATGCAAGTAATAAAAGGAATCCTAATGGAAAATATGACAATACACAAGATACACATGAAGATTTAATATTAATCATGTTATTTCAACTTCTTCTAATTACTACTTACCACCAATTAGTCACATGCAGGTTTTAGGTCTAATGAATGTAATAAACTTAACATCTTAGGGGAAAAAAAAAAAAAAGTGATTTAACACCTCATTAGAGACAATAATTCAAAGGATTCAACTAAAACACTCTACAACTCTGTTCAGTTGCTTTACTGCGGCCACTGCAAATTTCTCTACTTGATGGAGTAATTCTGTGATGCAATCTAATAGCAGATTACCTAGCATATTTGACGATTCAATCATGCTGGTGTCTAAGTCAGTCCAATACAGCCGTTGGTCGGCATAATCAATTGTGAGGTCATTGGCACGACCCACTTTATCCACCAAAGTGATGCTGTTCGTTCCATCCATGTATGCTCGAACGATCCTAGGCTTACCTCCCCATTCTGTCCAGTACATGTACCTGCAACGAGAAGCGGAACAAAACGATACAACTTCACGAGACTGAGTTCAGTTCTGTTTTCTAAATTTGCTTAAAAAAGAAAAACATTGGGAATAACCACATGGTTATGGGCAGTTAATTAGCATACCGTTGTGTTTTGTGTTTGTTTTTTTTTTCTTTTAAAGAAAGAAGGAAAAATACGATTCGCAATTCTCAGTTTTTCCATTGTGACCTTCAGGGTTCTGGAGCTTACAAGCCTTTATCATATTTTTTCTTTTTATGACCCTGAAGAAACCATCTGCCAAATACGTTGTCACATACAAAGAAAGAAGCAAAGCTTAGAAAAACAACACTGTCCCTTACCCTTTGGTAGGATCAAGAGCCAAAGACCTTGGGTTGTCCAAGTCCTTCCACACAAGGACCTGTCTATACTGTCCATCCAGGCGGGCTACCTCAATTCGATTAGTTCCAGTATCTGCCCAGTAGAGGTTCTTTCCCATCCAGTCTACAGCCATTCCCTCAGGGTAATCTAGCCCAAATTCAATCACGTGTTCAACAGAGCTCCCATTCATGAAAGCTCGACTTATGGTCTGAAAAACAATTGTGTAAAAATATTTAAGGATTTATGGATACTTCACGAAGATAAAAAGTAATTTAAAAGTAATGAAATTTAGCTTACAAAGAGGTTAGTAAAAAAAAAAACAACAATCTATTGGTGTTACTTTTTAAAAGCAAACTTCTGTTGTCAAAAAACAGAGCAGTTTACAGGATAAAGAGATTTGAATTTTCAGAAAGGTTAATAGCTTCTTATGACCAATTCAAAATGCTTTAAAAGGACACGACTTTCAGAAAGCACAATATATCTGCAAATTCTCCCTTGACCCTCTTCCTCTCTCCTGTTTGTACATAAAAACACACATATATTGGAGTATTTAATTCTCTATAATGTTTTAAGTTGAAGGACTAAGTCACAAATTCAGCAAAATCAGAATTAATTTGTTCTCATGGTCAGTCACCTTTGGCAAATTTGCTGATCCTATCTGTATTTTAGTTCTATACAGTCAGCAAAATAAGTCATAGGGCAAGGATTGTATATGCATAAATAAGCCGCTCCCAACAATGAACAACGAAACAACCTCCAGACACACCACTGGGAACACCCAGGATCAGTGTACGACTGTCTGCTTTTGGAAGCATCTCAGCACTACGAGATGTTTCATATTTTTAGAAGGCAGATGTCAAAATTTGTATTTTTACATGTGTAACTCACACCTCAGATAAAGTATAACACTCTTTTGAAAACGAGTCCTCCCACAAACAGAGCCTATAGGAGATTAGGGATGTAGTGATCATCAAGGAGAGCAGTATGAAAACAGGAGGACGTCTCTTAAGTTGCACTACCTGCAGCCAAGATGCAGAAGGTGGAGGGACAGGGGAATGAAAACTCAGATATGCTGAAATGTATGTGATATGTACGTTGAAAGTACAGTATGATGGATAACTTAGGAGGCCGCATACAAGTAAAATGTTGCCCAGTTCTACACAGAATCAGATTAGGATCTGAATGACACAGCTGAAGTAATGCATTTTCCACTACCAATGGTTAAGACAAACACAGCCTCAGCTTTTCCACATGCTTGCCTGAGATTTATTTAGTTATCATGTCTGCAGCACGCTAATTTGTTACATTGGCACTGTTCCTAGAGAAAAGGTATCCACATCAGTACTTCTAGTGCTGAAGACAACCCTCGTTAGTCTTAGAGAGGTATGTAAACTAGCCCTACAAGTAAACTTTTTCCTATTATGGTTTAGGTACCTTGGCAAGACAACTACAACTGTTCTTGGAAAACTTAATAAGAGGCTAAACAGAGAAATTCAGTTCCAGTGAAGCGAATGCACTGTTTTCTACCATAACTTAATTCACTTCAAAAAGCAACACTGACAAAGAACGCAATGTTCACTTCAGCATTCACCTGGATATGAACCAAACACATGAGAAGGGAATTTCAAACTGCTAGAGAACACAAGGACTTAGGAGGAGATGGAGGCGAGCAGGGGGCAGTTAACATGACATGGAGGAAACCAGAGAAGTTCCGTGGCCTCTTCTGTGCCAAGCTGGAGCCCTGGGCTAACAGCAAGCAATACAAAGTTCACTTGCTAGAAGCGAATATTAAGCAGGGTTGTCTTCCAAATCAAAACTGGAAGGTGATAGAAAGCTTGGGGGGCTGCCAAGCTTACTACGTGACATGAAAACAGCACTTCTACAATAAACATGTGGATGCAGCATATGTAGCATCCGAGACTTCAGCATTCAGCATGAGCAGACACCACTTTGGATTTTTATTTGAAATGGGAACATGCCTGTCACCCAACTGTGCATTCAACAATGCAACTGTCTTCATCTCCAAGAGTCTCCTTGGATGCAATTCAATGACAACACTAGCAACTGCAGGATAGATCATGTAACAGAGACCTTTGTTAGATCAAAGAAACTGCTCTGTGGCTTTATATTCAGGGAATTCACATGTCAGTAATACCTTCAAACTAACATCAGTCCAATAGATTCTGTTATCAGAAACATCAAAATCCAGAGCAGATGCCTCCTTGACTCCAGTAAGAGGAATAGCAACATCATTATTATTGGTTTCAAGGGAAATCCTATGAATTGCTGCTCTGCTTGTGAAAACTAAGAAGGCTTCAGGAATGATGCAAGTCTTCATGTCACTCAACAGCTCAAGGCCAATGGGACAGGCACACCTGGTCTCCTGGGGTGTAAAGAAACACAGATGGCTGCAGCCTCCGTTGTTCTCTGCACATGGATTAGTCCCTTAAAAACAAAACAAAACAGATAATGGTATATTATGGAGATAGGGGGAAGAGGAGGGTAAAGCTGAATGAAAAATGTAACTTTTCAAAATAAGTTAATCCTATAGATCATTAATAGAGTAATTCAAAATTGTTTCTTTTCCTCTAGCCAGACATTAGAAGACTGGTTGCATTCCCTTCCTATATATGAAGAACTGCCACAAACATATTTTATGGCTTCCCCAAAGACTAGTTCCTTTACTGAATGCAAGCAATTATCCATATTCAGCCTGGCTATTTTATGTTCAGTACTCCATCTTTATACCTCTTTGAAATCATCAGTTTTAAAAATGTGTCTGAGTTCAATGATACAAAAATAATGAGGAAAGGACTGGATAACTGAAGCTCTTTCCCAGCTGTTCAATCACTACAATCTCTCATTTATTTTGTTCAAGTCAATGACTGTGACCAGGCAGTGCAGGAATAAGGAGGGAAAAGTAAGGATCCAAAGACAAATGAGCATCTTTCTCCATCATTTGGAATCAGAGATTTAGCTACACACGTTATCACAAAAAAATCTCCAAGATCAGACTCATCCAGCTTTTAGTTCTCCCTTTTTAACACATACAGTCTGACGTCAACTTACACCAAGTTACAATCTGAAGACTCAACAGTCCTTCAAGTAAAACGAAGAGTTCCACATGATTGTGAGAGGTTTCTACAGTTCAATCTACTTGCTAAGCACTCTGGGCAAGATTTAATTGCTGAGATGTTAAAAATTAGAGTGCTGTTTGCATTCAGGTACCCCCGTAATAGCCACTAACTCTACCTGTATCATTCCATGTAGTAAAACTTATTCTGCCAATGGAAGAACACTGGGACTTTATACAGGAAAAGGGCAGCAGAAAATGGTGCAATCCTGTGAGCACCAGAACTTCTAGAGACCAGAGCCAGGAATAAAATTCTTTTCAAAAAGATTCAGAGTGTGGTGGAAGCTGCAGAGAACTTAGGTTGAATATCATTATAAAACTGGAAGCACAAATGTCTTTTGCAACACTCTATTTTCCCAACTTTACAAAAACAAGCGCAGCTTTCTTTTAAAGTGTTTCAAACACTAAAGACCATAGTTATTTTCATTACAAGTGATGAACAGCTGCTTAGTGAAAGCAAGAGCTTCTAGAAACTACTTTAGACTCACACTGTGATTGACTACTCTTACCAAAAACTTTGGTAACACTTGTTGCTTTAAGGCCCATCAAGTCTGGCAGCTGATCAATAATGATGTCCCTGCTAGCCCTTATCTTGTGAACTCTTTCAATGCTTCGCCTCTGCCAGTCAGTCCAGTAGATGTAATCACCCAGCAGTGTGAACCCAAATATATGCGGAAGTTTATCTTCTAGGAGGGTTTTCCTCATCGTTCCATCAACATTTATGACCTGTGAGACACATGAAAAACAAGGAAAAAATAAGTTCTATTTGAAAATTTTCACTGCAGACAGCATCACGCTCTGTACCGTATTTAATTCAAAAGACTTTAATTTTCTTCTCTAACATGACTCAAGCTTCCATCTTTTGCTAGAAATGCTTCATAGGTGGACAACTGCTATGCTTTAATCTAGGCTACGCATTACCTGCGGTTGAGATAGAAATTTAAACAATTTTCTCTTTACTGTTGTTCAATCATTATTTCTTTATTCAGAATCAAAATATTAAACTTGTGCTTTGTAGATAATTAAGTTGTCTTCCCTGTACAATGCTCCTGCTTTCTTTTAAAGATTTGAAGACAAACACAGTCATTTCAACTCTGTATTTCCCTGACTTGTAAGCAGTTAAGTGTCACAGCCATATTTATTTCGTATTAAAAACATCCACTATCCAAAGGCAATGTAATATTAAACCATTAGACATCTAACAAGCTAGTGGTCAGTCAAATCAACAGTTTTAGCACAATTTCATGTACAGTAAGTTGTAAGGCTCTGCCTGTGCCTGCTAGACAACAGGTGCACACAATTTATTTTTTTGTATGTGATAAGTGATAATCACATCTTACTAAATTAGTATTTGACTTTTAACGTGCGCACACACCTGTGTGGTAGCTATGCAAATAACAACAACAGAAACCTTCAGATTGAAACTTGCTGTTCCTATTACAGTCGCACTTGCAATACTTTCCAAAATTGTGAAAGTAATGCACATCTCTTTGATTATATGTTTTTTGGGGGAACAACATTTCCACATCAAAGAAATACAAATAATACTTTGTCACTGATTCTACTAGATGAATTCTAGCTGGAAAAAAAAAAAATCATAAATGGTAGCACGCATGGAACACCCTAATCTCCCAAACAACACCAGTGCAACAGCAGAGGTAAGCAGTCAGATGCTGCACGCTACGTTTAACCATGCAGCACACAAAAGAAATCAATGCTGTAACAGTTCATTTTGCATTGCTATTGCACAGACGTCTTCAGGATTCCTTCCAGACAGAAAGCCTCCTGCTGGAGACACTTAATAATAACACTGACATTCTTTAAAACTAAGTTTCGGAGGAGTTTCATGTCATCCAATCCATCACATGATGAAGCAGCAGAGACTTAAGATTAATGCCTTTTTATTTTATGAAGCTAAATAAAGTACATTTAAAAAAAAAAAAGGTTACGTCTGCGGTTAAAAGCCAAATGGTTCTGCAATTATCTCATTACATCATGTCCAGGCAAACCCCAAATGCTCACTTATTTAGAACAGTATCAATCCCACAGGCTGTACTGCAGTTCAAAAGTTCATCACGCATACTCAGGTGCCAGAGCCAAACTGGTGCATCGTCCTGTAATTAAGACAATTTCCTTTACAAAAGCAACAGTGCATCAGTAGAACGATGATCAAACCAGCACATTTCTGACTACTTCTACAGATAATGGGCAGTACAAATATAGTTCAAGCACCAGAGCTGCTGACCAAATACACCAGGCTCTGATTGGATCCGAGGACACAGAAAAATACTTTTTTTCCTATTAATTAATATCTATGCACACCTGTGCATGTTGTCAACTACCACGCTCACTACTGAAAGTACCAAATGAAAGCCTGTTAGGCAATCTAGTCCTCCTGATCAAGCACAGAAGAAATGGAGATCAAAAAGGTAGAATCAGACAGTAAACAAATGTTTAATGGCTCACGCTTTGGCTAAGAAGGAGATGGAATAAGCATTTCCTCTCTGTCTGAACACTCCTGCTCTCCAACGTGTCAGCAGAATGCCTGTGGATCCCAGCAGGCTTCCCCTGGATGCAAAGTGCAGCTCTGACCTGGAGAGGTGGTGTGATGGGCTGCAGACCCTGCCTGCTGATAGCCAATCCACGGCAGTGGGCATGAAGCACTAACTGAGTGCTAACTAGGTTGCCTGGCAGCAGCAGACAGGTCAAGCAGTTCACCGAAGGTACAGGCACACTGCCTTCTGGATTTTGCTGTCATCCATCTTTCCAGAGATTCATCTCCATTCCAGAGCATTAACTTAAACCACGAGGACACAGGAAAAAACCCTATAAACAGTCCTCACAGTAAGGCCAGAAGCACAAGCTAGAACTGCACAGCTCATAAAATATCCTATTATCTCATCATTTATGGCGTGCAGGCTGCTGGCTGCAGCCAAAGGAAAGCTGTTATGGAGCATTTTTCCCATTATTATGTACAGCTTCTCTTCAACACACCTTAGAGGCAGAGAAGAGTGGGTATTTTTTTTCCTAAGAGTTTTCATCCTCTTTCAATAACTGATCAATGGATTTTTGACTTAGGTCAAAGGACAAACGCAGTGCTAAAATCTGCTCTGCTTTCCACACGAAACACTGAAAGGTCCCCTTGAACAGACACAGCCCCTGATTAGTCCTCAGACTTCAATAACAAATCTCTTAACGAGGCATCACAAAGCTCAGCCAAAACCTGTGGTGGGCAAAACAAAATCAACATCAAATGCCTTAATGAAGTGAATTACACACAAAAGCACAGCGAGGTGATAAGGTGTGCTTTTTTTTTTTTTTTTTTTTTTTTTTTTAAATGCTGCTGCAGAGTATGCAAAGCAACTTAACATTTCCAAATATAACACTCAAAAGCTCTTGGCTCTTTGAAGAAGATTAAAGTAAACAATGCAATTAAATTCTACACATCAGTGTGATTCATGTAGTCAAGTTGTATTTCAAGCGCATCTGTGAAAAACAACAACTATTCAGCATATAAGTCTTTTGACAGAACAACAAAGGGAGCTCAGACACCTTGCTCCTATATTTAATTCATTAAGAAAAGACTAAATTTATTCAATTGCTACAAAGCTGAGACAAATGGAAACCAGCTCTCGGGATGAGCTAAATCTCTAAGCAGTAAGCAGACACAGAAGGTTGGCACTGATAAAACATTATGACTGCCACATTATTATGTTGGTAGTCTTGCAGGTCTATGGCTTTCTTCTCGGTGTGTGATTTTAGCCTGTGGGAAAGGCAAGGTCCTTGAATGGCTTCCGACAATTCTCTCCAGAAGACCCTAAGAAGGCATCTCAAGGGAATTATGCCCAGTCTTTCTGGCTAGAGAAAGAACCTGAAGGAAAAACCATGTGGGTGGCAGCCAACATGAGAGAAAAAGACAAAGAAAAAGGGAGAGAAATGGAAAACTCCAGAGGGTCAAAAAGCCTGCCTCCAAAAGAGAAGAGTAAAGCAGCTGTGAGCAGTCCGTACCATAGTCTATATTCAGCTGGGTTTAAGCCGTTCGTTAACATTTCCAACAGCTGAAGTAGAACCACCTTTCATCAATGCTACAGGATAAAAGAGGACTCCTCCTTTCTCATTCTGAAGAGGTTTAATGCCAGGCATGTGTTGGCAGACACTGGCAAGCAGAAAAGAGAATAGAAGTAAAGCGGCCAGTCCCAGAACCTACGTATCAAAACAGGTCGGAGGACAGCTGGACAACAGATCCATCCGTCCATTTACACACAGATGGTTTGCAGATTTGCAGACTCCACAATTTGCAAATGCAGGTAGTGACACAGTACCATCCTTTACATACAAGTTCTTTCCTCTGAGAGGCTTTCCATCGTTTTTCACTACAGATCACATTTTAGCTTGCTGAGGAAGTAGCAGAAGATACTTCTCAGTGGCTACACGGGGGTCAGATTTTCACTTGTAACACAAAAGCCACTTTGAGATGTTCAATAAAGAGGATTACAAGTAGGATTATCAAGTCTCACGACTCTTTTGACAGCCTTCCCTCGCAAGCACCTTTATAAAGCTAAAGCACAGCAGTAATGGCCAACTGTCTTCAAACAGCCACACTGGCACACAGAAGAACAAAAAGTAGTTGGAGCACAATAATAATAAAAGCCTATCTCAGGAGAGCTCTCAAAAGTGCCTCTGATCCTGAGATCCATCCACTAGTAAGGATTTAAAACTATAAGGCAGAGACTATATTGACAGTATCACACAAAGATATGACTATCAAGAGTCCTTCCATTCTGACTACTACTATTGACTACATGTCATCTCATACATAATGGTTTCACCCCATCCATTTGTTCTGTCTCATACAAATAAAATCTACGTTGTCAAATGAATGTAAAATGTTAATTGGCGACCTGTTAAAAAACAAAACCAAAAATCCCAAAAACTACCTACAAAGAAGCCAAATACAACACAGTATAACTTTACATTACAAAAAATACAGCCTTAAGTAATTTTTAGCGATCTCCCATTTTCACTGGGAATTATATAAACAAAATATATTCCTGTATTTGTGCTGAAAGTATCAGCATGTAAAGTGGCTGTTACTTTGCAGGGTAGACCTGTTCATTCTTTTCATATTAAATTACCACCATACCTGACGATCACCAATGACTTGTCTCCTAGGACAATACTTTTCCAGTTCCACAGAGAGTATTGCATTTTCAGACAGACTTTACAAAACACAAGCACTCCTAATAAGCTCCTACAGACACTGATGAATAGATAAATTTCTTTTTGCTGGGAAGGTGGTGTTAGCGTGATTGTAATCTTGAATCTGTTTACATTTTATGAATCTAATCTAGGAACAACTAATGTTCTCCATACGAAGCACTGTTACATCAACCTGACATTACCAGAACTTAGTTCTGCTTACAGGATATCAAACAGTTAAAGGTGCAGCTGGTAAATTCTGCAACTGTTCTGTGCTAAGCAGGAACATTATATGGCATGCCTAGCTCCTTAAAAGGGGAAAAAGTTAAATGCAAACATACTCAAAACTAATTTATGGCAACTGGTGGCTAGAACCTAAAGCACAGATGTTTTACTGAATCGGTATTTCAATTTGGTTTTTAGGTGCAAGTTGCTTATTTAATACACTTCAGGGAAATCTTACCTTCTGCAAACAAACTTTTTAATACTGAAACACTGAACACCTCTGTAAGTAGTTTAAAGGGGCC